CGTACGCTTGAACCAAGCTGCAAACTCGATGTAATAAAACCTCAGCGGACACCACACGTGAGGCTCACTGCAGGACACTGTCCTTGAAATCTGAAACGGTCATCTAGCACTGTGTGGCAATGTAGCCAATGAGAAAATGTGCACCGGAACCTGCAGGGACATGCAAATCACTACAGGATTCAATCACACACAGGAGCAAACAATTGTATTCTGAGAGCAAATGCAAGTCATGCAGTCTGAAATGAAACACACATTCTAAATGTCAATCCGTTCTTGCTTAGGCAGGCTGAAATCATGATTCCACCCATGCTGGCTTTCTCCTCCAAAATTGGGCACCCCTATTGCGCAGTGTCGAAAAGCTCTGGAAAAAACCCTTATGTATGATGGCTGCTTAGTGGATTCCCAGCTCTCCGATTGTGACAATCCAAGACATATCAATATACTATGTAGTGTAACCGGCTTCCCATCATCGACCCACCATCATATATCAAAAGCATATCCCGAAAGTTTGATACCTATACATATAAAATTATGTGTGTGTATATATATATAGAGGATGTTCCATTATTAGCCATCGATTTTAGGGTATCCCCGTTTATGGAAAACCCCCATACTTAGGGTTAAACCCCCCCGCAGGGGGCATCTCATCAACTGGCGTTTTTTACCCCCACCTTAATGTTAAATGTATCACTACTGTCCTATTTTTTGATGCTTAAAACATGTTAAAGCACGTTCAAAGCCTATCAATGATGCTTATATCCGCATTAGATAATAATACCAGTAGTACCGCACAAGGCGGTGGCGGAAGTTTCAGAATAGGAAACCTATAGGAGACGTTCGTTGTTGTGAATCACGGATGGCAGAGCGAATCCACTGGTTGACCGAAAGGTGGTTGGAGTTGTGTTTGCTGGAATGGTTGCAATGGTTGCAGTGGTCACCTCACCCACAACTGCTGGATGTAGTGTGATGTACTGCAACTGTAGTTGTAGTTGTAGCGTAGTGGAGTTGTAGTTGTGGTGTAATGTAATTAGTGTAGTGTAGTTGCAGTCATATAGTTGTAACTAGTTGTTTTGTAGTTGTAGTTGTAGTTGTTGTTGTTGTTGTTGTTGTAGTTGTAGCTGTAGTTGTTGTGTGGTTGTAGTTGTTGTGTAGTGTAGTTGTAGTAGTAGTAGTTGTTGTTGTAGTTGTTGTAGTTGTTGTAGTTGTAGTTGTTGTTGTTCCTGTTGTTGTAGTAGTAGTTGTTGCTGTTGCTGTTGCTGTTGTTGTTGTTGTTGTTGTAGCTGTAGTTGTTGTAGTTGTAGTTCTAGTTGTAGTTGTTGTGTAGTTGTAGTTGTAGTTGTAGTTGTAGTTGTTGTTGTTGTTGTTGTTGTTGCTGTTGCTGTTGTTGTTGTTGCTGTTGTTGTTGTAGTTGTTGTAGTTCTAGTTCTAGTTGTAGTTGTAGTTGTTGTGTAGTTGTTGTAGTTGTAGTTGTAGTTGTTGTAGTTGTAGTTGTTGTGGTTGTGGTTGTTGTTGGTGTTGTTGTTGTTGTTGTTGTTGCTGTTGCTGTTGCTGTTGCTGTTGTCGTCGAAGTTAGGGTAGTGAAGTTAGTGAAGTTAGTTAAGTTAATCAGTGTCTACTTTTTCGATATCTTCACGTCAAAAAAGGCTCAAAACCCGCAGTTTTTTACACTTTTGACTTCGAAATGTGCTTCGCGCCACAAGGGCGTGCACTTTTTCGACACTTTTTCGACATCTGAACCTCCAAAAGTGGTCCGAGACCGTCAGTTTTTAACACTTTTGACTTGGAAATGTGCTTCGCGCCACAACGGCGTGCACTTTTTCGACATCTCAACTTCCAAAAGTGGTCTGAGACCGTCAGTTTTTAACACTTTTGACTTGGAAATGTGCTTCGCGCCACAACGGCGTGCACTTTTTCGACATCGCAACTTCCAAAAGTGGTCCGACGCTGAGGTGTTTTGTACATTTTGACTTGGAAATGTACTTCGCGCCACAACGGCGTGCACTTTTTCAACATCTCAACTTCCAAAAGTGGTCCGAGAATGGTGTGTTTTGTACATTTTGACTTGGAAATGTGCTTCGCACCACAACGGCGTGCAATTTTTCATCTCTCATCTGGCCAGCTGGCTCCGCACCCGCCGCTTTAGCGAGCCTACTTTTCGACCCTCAGGAGCCACAAATCATTGGAAAAACACAGTGAATCGCGACTTTCCTACCTTTTCGCGCATCTGTATCTTCTTTCTTCTGACTCTTTCTCTTCTACTCTTCTCTCTTCTAATCTTTCTCTTCTCTCTGCATCTTCCCTGCTCTGCTTTTCATCTGTCCATATTGTCGGAAGTTTGACTTCTAAACTTCCTTCGATCATTGCAACTTTATCCCCATTCTGTCCCCCTCGTAATGATGAAATAATGACCCACATGTCTGTAAAATATATTGTTGTTGATTATATATCCCGTCAATTCCCATGACATATCACCATTCATGTTGGTTTTATACATAGATGTTGATGCTAAAACCCTATAGTAGATGGTTACAGCAACTCCCGAAAAAGATGCTGAAAAGTTTGAAGCCTGGAAATATGGAGAAAACAACATGTTTGGTGCCAACCTGGAAATAGCAAACTCTATCTTTTTGGTGCATCCTATATATCATATCCCCATAATCAAATCCAGAAGTTGAGTCCATGTCATGACGAGGAACGCGTCGGAGGGTCTCGGACGGCAGTTCTCAATGGTGAGGACCAATTGACCTGGAAACCGCTGTGCAGTTGAGGGTTTTTACTGGAGGATTACTATGGGAAAGAATTATGCGATAGCTGGGGTGATAATGATAGATTAATGGGTATAACATGGTATAACTATGGGAGTTTAAGTAAATTTAAATAAATAATGAACATAGTTGTTAGATAACTAACATGACTGTTGGGTCTATGGTACATATATCACACTAGTTAATGGGATTTGTGGATGAAAGTAGAACTGCAGTTCGGGTTATCTTTCTGAATAAAAGTTGGGATGCAGCCCACATAAACTATGGTCAAAGGATAGCTTAAAGTAAGTCCCCCCAACACAAAGATAGAACTCGTATTCGCCTATTGTCTTGATGGTGATTTATACTTATCATTATATCTTATGATCAGTTTTTCTTGGGATGGCTATATGATTCTTACATGATGAACCTCCTGCGGCCCAGCCGAACACTGTCCATGGTCTGTGTTCGTGGAACAACCTCCAATTTCCAACAGGTGACATCCCCATTTGTTGAGTCTCATCATTCCTCATGTTTCATGCTCATACACAACCTGGATCCCTCTGGTAATCAAACATGGCAATGGAAAATTCCCATAAATTTAGTTCGATGATTCTCCCATGAAAACCTACATTTCGTGGATTTTCCAGCCATGGTTGATTTTGGAGGGTACCTATTTGCCCATCACTCGGAAAGACCTGGGCGCCGTTCCCACGGCGAGCGACATGCATCTGGTGTCGTGCTGAATTCTGGCATCGATTCCAAGAGCATCGTGATCTGGCGAGGTGAACTGTCCACAGTCACCAACATGTTGCTGGTAGATTGGTAGATTGGTACAAGGTGGTGCCCCCCAGTTATAAGTTGGTTTATAAACCCCATTAACTATAGATATATCTACCATAAACCATAGTTATTGGAGTTATAAACCAACTTAGCTATCTAGGGGGCACCACCTTGTAGTGAACGGTGTTTATTCCTCAAATATTCCCTGGAAACTTGCGGCTTTTGAACCCATGTGGGCGCCGGAAAAGGGGTGAGCCAGGGTGCGATCATCTTCCAAACTTCAAAGATCTTCAAAGTATGGGCCTCCAAAAACCAAGATCTCAAAAAAAAAACTGGCAATTCCCTGACATCCAGGTCTGAAAATATGGTAGCCATTGGTAGCCCCTGGTATCCCACATCCACAAATCATCCCAGGTGTCTTCGCCGGGATCCCTGAGCAGTCCCACGGCAGTGAGGAGGATCACAGAGGTCAACAAATATGAGGCCCACCTGGGCGATGTTTTTTTGGGGTTCATCGAGTTTTTTCTGGATCAAAAACACCATCCATGTATGTATACATATATATATATATTTATCTATTTATTTATTTATGTATTTGTTTATTTATTTATTTATCTATTTTTAGTTATGTATTTATTTATAGTTATATCTATTTGAGTTTGTATAAAATATATGGTGTTTATTATATCTATTCATTCATTTATCAATTTATTTATTTATGTATGGTATATATATTATACGTACATTATATATATTAGTTACGGTTGGTTGATGTTAGTTGAAATTTGTTCCAGGATGTTTCAGTTTGACTCTTCAGAACATGCAGACGTTGCTGAATTTTCGTCTTGAATCGGTGTCCCATGGCTAAGAAGTGGAACCCAAGGACTGGTGAAAATCTCTAGCGGGCTCGGCTCAGATAAAAACACGGAACTTCACATGGCTAGTTTCAAGTCAACAACCCACCAGCAGGTGATTGCAATCTGGGTCCGGTACTGCGCAGCACAGCCCGACGAAGGGTCGTTCAGCAGTTTGAAGATCCTCCTGCGATCGATCAGACCCTGAGCTGCTGATCCTTTGGGGTACGGCTTTAGCAATGGAAAACCCTCCAGAAATAGTTCGATGATTTTCCAAGCTAACCTCCGTTTCGTTCGGGGTCCAGCTCACCACCTTTGATGACCGGATCTTTGTTTCCGGCTGCACACGGGCCGGCCATATCCTGCGAACGCATTTTTGCCACTGCTCACACGGAGACCCAAGGCTTTGAAGGCTTCTTTGGCTCAAAATTTTCCATGATTCACTTTGGATCATCCCAGGAATCGCACCTGATTTCTGCCCAGAATTGTTCACCCTGCAGTGAATGGCCCCCAGTATATTTAAACAATTTTATACGCCACATCATTAGGTTTTTCCACAAGTCAAAAAAAAGTTTCAAACCCCAGTATGTTTTGTAGGGGGCCCATCGTTGTAGTTTTTCAAGTTCAAATTCTCAGGATAATCCTCAGAGTGATGTCCCTAGGACCAAGGTATGCCCGACGGTCGCGTGGCAGCAAAGCACGTGGTCCATGGCGAGCTTGACATCGGTTTTCTGAACTTGGCGAAACCTGGGTCCCCGATGGGGAAACTTGTGAACCTGTTCCTGCGTGGATGACTGTGGTGGTGAAAAACATGGAAAAATAGGAGAGCCACTGGGGGATCATCATCGCAGGTAAGGATGGATGTATTGAAATGAAATCACTGCGCACAGTTTGGAATATGTTGGGATGCCTGATTGTTTCTAGTACATTCCATGGATGCGGTTCTTGATTCCTTCCAGATTTCTGAATAGAAAGAATACATCACTTCTTGAGTACGTGTAGCCACAAACTTCAAGTGGATCCGTGGATGGTTTTAAGGCAAAATCTATATACAGGAAACCATGGTTATTGTTTATCACTTAATTATCACTATCATTTTTGGAGGGTTCTTGTGAATTTTACCATCATCCAATTCTGGTGCAAGTGTATGGTCGGGCCCCGTTCCATGGGTATATTATAACCTACCTGAATAACCACGAAAGCCACATGGCTCACCCGAAGAAATCACCACTCCGGACCTGAACAGTGAAAGCTATCGGCCATTCAAAATGGATGGAACTATCTACTGTAAGAAATCACCTCAAAATCTCCGAGTTCATGGGTTTATGATAATTAGTATGCTCCAATGATAAAACGACAAATCATTTCGGGATGGTTTGTGAAATTGGCTGTGCCATTGATCACCCATACCCTCGTGGATCATCTGCCTTGACCCAATCCGGAGCCGGGCCTTTGCAGCCGTGAAACCCAGAGAGTTCCCGCATCAGCAAGTGAGATCCGGAGGATGAGAAGAGCACATCCTTGGCCATGACACATGGAAAACATTGGCAATACAAACTCCGGAAGTCCCTAATCTGCCTTATACTTCTACATCCTTACACTAATAAGCATTTATAAAGATCGCAGAATAAACCTTAAGATCCCCAAGAAACATGATTAACTTGGATTGTCAACCGCTCTTCTGGGGTCCAGTTTGGCCCAAATGCAGGTGCCAGCACTTCCCGTTCTGCAACTTCGTTTCAAATCCAAACCGTGGCTGAAACCCAGCCAATATGTCAGTGATTCATGAGTTTCAGCCCCAATGTGGGTTTCTAATGGTTTCTATCCATTTCCATTTACAAATCCATGCCTACCGATTTGCAAAAAAAAAACTATCCATGGATTGTTTTTTCTACCCAACATCTCTGGACCGCCAAGTCTCGTTGTTTTGCTTGGTCTTCGCCTTGCTCCAGCACAGCGCCTGCACTGCACCTCGGTGCGCCGCATGGGTCGAGGAGGCGCCTTTCTCGCCCGTGCGCAGCGCGCGGAGGTCCAGCAGAGTCAACCTGCCATCGGCGTGGCCTAGGCTTCAGGGCTTCAGGGATTCAGGGCTTGGGTAACTGAGGATGAACAGCTGTAGGTGGTTGGTTGCTATTCAACCACCAAAAGAATGGCCGATTTTGGAAAAGGCATATCAAATCCAATACTAAAATAGTGATAAAGTGTTGTTGTCACTCTGGGATGCAATTGGGTTTAATTTTCACGGGTATCTACAGTATCACCATGGTGACAGAACCAGCGATATAATCTCCATGATGTTACATATCTATACATATCCACCTATAAAATTATAGGTCCTATAAACTGGAACTTGCAGGATCATCTCACTCAGTAGCTCGTTCCTGCAACTGTTGGGTTAGAATCCAATTCAAAGGGACATGACTGAGTTCTTGGAGGCTTGTTGACCAGGCTTGTTGACCAGTTGCTGCCAAATGGGGGATGTATAATGTCCCTGATTTAGGGGTGATCAGTTCAATCTGAAAAAAAAACCTATGAACTTGGTAACTGGAAACCAACATCTTACCAGATTTAACATGGTTTAGTGGACAATCCATGACTGCCAAATTTAACATGGTTTAGTGGAGCTAAACATGAATATGTTGATCTTCAACAATGACGAGGATACCTGTTGGCCAACCACTATGACGTAACAAATCCACCAACCAATGATGTTTTTCTGAAGGCTTAATAGCACCCCAGAAATACAATCGGGGTTTAACGATCATCATGGAGTTGGTTTTGCGGACTGTGCCTCTATTCCACATGATTTATTAAATGGTGATTTTTCAGCCAACCATGAAGGAAACTCTTATGGTCTATGTAGATTAGGTTTCCTGGTAAATTTTGCAGAAAAAAAACTTAGTTGTCCAGAAACGTGCCGGGTACCTTGGTTCCACCTCCCCTTCATCCACCTGGAACAACCAGCAGTGGATGGTGGGATCCAATCAGCAACCATGAGTTATTAAGATGTGGATATAACCAACAAACATCGGAATATAATGGGATATACCATGATATGCCAAAAAAAAGCAACAAATCTTGGGGATATATCAAACTTGACATCTTGGGATCCCTTTTTACTCCCAACGTGGCCATCCCACCATCCCATCCCTCCATCCCAGCTTCCAGCAGCCAACATATGGCCATCCCGGGAGAACGCCAGGCACGTCACTGCCGCTGCGGCCTTCCTTGGGGTCGTGGCCTCGCGCAGGATACGCGTGGGAAGCGCTGAGGCCAAGTCCCAGAAGATGAAACCTGCAGCTGCTCGCTTGGGATTGATGGAGGTTTGAGGATGTTGGGTTGTTGGGTAACTTGGAAACTATAACATACTATAACTATATAATTATATATATATATACTTATATTATGATTGATATGCATCTCAATTAAGGTACATCTTATAGTTTGATAAGGTCTAAAACTGGAGTGTCTCGGTTAAGAAAAATAGTTTATATAGTATGGAATAGTTGTGTTACGAAGCAGTTCTTTGCTTGTAAGTACCTGTGGAAGCGAATCGGCCATGAGTGTTGGTCATTTCACCACGGTTTCAGATGAGCATTAGCAACACGAAAAGAATGGGCACATCTTATAACTTCTGCTTATGCTGCTGATTTGCCAAACCTTCTGTATATGTCCTCTCCAGAACCTGATGTTCATGGCTTCGATCTGGGATGAACCCCTCATGGACTTGTTTTCCCCATGCAACTGATAATGTGACCCCAGATGACCCCAGGTAATGGCATGGCAGTGACCTGTTTTGGTCTGGGGCCCCTGCATTAAACAAAATCCTAAAAGGTGGTGCCTAGTCTCAACTTCCTTCGTGAATCCGCTTGTGCACCCCTCAACCAGCAGCCAGCATCTAGTTTTGTCATCTTTGTGCGTTCCATGCAAAACCCAGTTTGGTTTCTGGCGAATGGCCATCCAATGGCCATCCAAAAAATGTAAATCCTGAAATTGTCCATTGCCACACTGTGTCGAACGTGTCGAACGTGTCGAATGTAGCTCAGCAGATCTCAGCAGCAATTGATGCATTCCAAGCCACTATCGCAATGAGCTGTGACCACACGTCTACCATCGGTCTGAACCCTGCCGCGAGCATCAAGTGCTGGTTGTATCCAAACAGGAAAAAAACATGTTTGGTATGGAAAAGCTCTGGAAAGAAACGTCAAAACCACCACAGCAACTTGTGAGACCATTGTAAGGCCACGTAGCAAGCACAGCTAAATGCATACGCATACGTGCAATACGGATTGCATCTTTTGTGTGTGTGTGACTCATCTGTAGAGATGTAAAACTTCGACGTTTGTTCGTTTTTTGTTTATGCAGGGGGCATGCGGCCATCATGCAAACGCATGCCAACGAAGCTATGCATGATGGTGGAAGCCGGGGCTGATCACCCTGGTGTACCTGCATTGTTGTGACTACCTGTTGTTCAGGGTTTGCTTCCATTCAATTGTCAATGTCTGGTGATGGGAAGAGGCTCAACCCAAGAACCTCCAAGTCAATTTTATTTCTTCACGGTTGCCACAATCTGTATTTTCGCTGAAACCATGTCGCCGATGTATTTTGCTCATTTCGCCGAAACCACATCGCCGATTGTATTTGGATTTTTTCGTCAATATCATGTCGCCAATGTATTTTGATGACGTTTTTGGACATGGAGACCATGCAGGAGAACTTCTATTATTTGAAGATGCATCGTTGATTTCTTTGTTTCCTATCTAATTTGCATGTTTCAGGATTCAGTTCCTGCCGGATCACTCAAATGATCCATTCTTGTCTAGTGTGATTCCTATGGTGACTCCGACATGGTGCCATAGGGCCAATTGAGGCAACCCCAGTTGGGGTCAATGTCGACTGAATTGACTTCCGAATTTACACTTTTGAATTAGTAATTCGTTTAAGTAATGTGCAACAGATGGCCTTACCGTTTTGTGCCTTTGACGAAGTCCCGCGGCTCCTGTGGTCCCAGGGATTCCTCGCCGACGCATTTCTTCATCTTTGAAGCTGCTCTGAACATTCAGAAACCTCCTTCTTTCGCAGCAACCTTTGCAGTTACATTACATGAGACAGAACGCAGGCAGGTACACGATCTTTAGGTGTGGTCTTCTTTCTTTTGATGGTTCTCTGGTGAGGTCAAACATATTGTGCACCTAATTCGCTGGAACTTGAAAGCCGTTTATGCCTATTGTGGCTGACCTGAACACGGGCCTGGAGTGGCACAACGCACGACTTCTAGGTTTTAGGAACTGAATCCTGTTTGTGACATTTTCAACCAAATTTCTCTCTATTCGAGCTATGTTCCGTGGACTACTCCTCCGACGTCCTGGCCTACTTCGCCGCAGCCTGCGACTACATCTTCGACGTGGCCTCCACAACCACCCTCTATTGCATCTACCTCCAGACCACCTATGACATGGCCAACGACAGCACCATCTTCCTCCTCAGCTCCTCACCCTGGATACCCTACTGACCCACATCAGTATTCGATAAGTCAACCTCACATGCCCGGAACCGCGCCGACTTCAGTGGAACATTTATTTGGACAACCCTCAGCATTACATCCTGCGTGGCCTTCTACGACCTCATTCCAAACGACAACTCACGCTACACCACCACCGTCATTCACTTCACTTGCAAAGGCCCCCATGCAGTGCCAGCTCAACACCTTGTCCCTTCTACAACTCCAACATTGGGCTCAGATTCGACTACCTTCCACTCCGTCACACCCACCTTTGTGACTCCCACTGGACCAACATTTTCGTCAACATGGCCAACTGCTCCTGCTCCAGCTCATGAACCGGCAGCACCACCTGTACCACTACCAAGCTCACCTTACCCACCTCGTGTCCATCAACCTCCACCAGTGGCTTCTACGACATCAACACCTCCTCCAGCTACTCCCCGACAAACAGCAGTCAAAGCAGCTCCAAAGATTCGCTCCGAGAAGAGACCTGAGAAAGCGCGCCGCTCAGCTCCAACGGCCACTCCGAACCCAACTACTGATGCTCCTTCAGCTCCATCGGTTACACCTTCAGTACAACAAGACTTGGCAACATTGGGCTCTACGACTCAACAACTCGCGGAATCCGTCCGTATTATCCAGGCTCAACAGCAGATGATACTTGATTCCCAACGCCTTCATGAACAACGACAACAACAACTTCGTCAAGACCTACCACCAGCCGGCCCTACTCCTCCACCGCCATTGCCCACATCGACACCACCAACCTCGGTACCTCCTCCTGCACCGAAGGCCAGACCCATTGAACCTGCAACTCCGGACCACAATACTTTAACGGCTCCACCTGCACCCATTCCGATTCCTTCGACATCACCATCGCAACGACCCCGATCAAGGACAAGAAGACAGATCACGCTCCCCTCGATCGCCTCGGGACTCTCACCGCCGACCACCTCCTCGTCATCGCTCAGATCGACCTCGTTCTCCCCTTCCACGGCACCGCTCCACGACCAAACATCCCAAAGATCGCCGAACACCTTCCCCTTATCGAAGAAGATCACCACCTCGACGACGTTCACCACTACCTCATCGACGCCACCGATCGAACCCTACACCACGCTCCAGAACTCCTCTCCGTCATCCTCGAAGCCATGAAGTCGTACTGACACCAGCAGCACGTCCTTCGGACCCAGATCTCATTCCCACACCAGATGCTGATGACACTTGGGGAAATTGGAACAACAGTCACTATCCAGAAGACCATCGTCGTGACACTTACCGACCCAGATCCCCGCCGGGACCACCACCTTCTGATCCACCTTCAAACCCACCGGCACCCGCAACGGCACCACTGGGAGCTGTTGCCTATCGTCTCCCAGATGGCGACAGCGAAACATCGGACGCAGCAGAGGCATATATTCAATCTCGCAGTTCGACAAGAATGACATCGACATCGACGAGCTTGTTTCGGCAGCTGAAGATCCAAATCGAACACGATGCATCACTGAACTGGGCAGTGATCATATAGTGTCTATTCGAATGGAGCTCGACCACCCCACCAAACTCTTATTCAACAGTTTTGTGGACGAGATGTTCAACCAGTTGGCCAAGCCTTATCGCACAATCAACAACGAGCTCATTTACATCAAAGCGAGTCAGGCCACTGTCATGCACATCGCCCGGGCATTCGCACAGGCACGACTCCTTGATGTTAATCTTGCAAGGAAAACACAGGGCTTCTATATGTGGAACCGGAAAACCTGCTGACCATCACGGTACCAACGGGCTTACCCAAAAAACCAATCTATCGTGGGGAACATGCAGGCACTTACCTTAGCTACCACAAAACGAGTTGGGAATCCGTTGCCAAAATTCTGGCTGAAGATTGCATCCGCCCAGCTAGCTGGACAAAAAACGAGGCTGGCATACCGACCCAGTACCCTTGCTACGGATTCTTTGGCATGTCATCGGAGATTGCCGATATCGATGAACTGCCAGCGTATTCAGTCAAGTTATGCACTTCCCAACTCTACAAGATTGGCAAAGGACAAAACCCATCAGGCCTTTTGGCCATTTGTCGTTCCCCAAAATGCATGAGGGCCCAATCTGGAGGAAACGACCAACTTCAACGCCTGTGTGCTATTCAAGGCATTGCCAGAGGCAAAGACGGTGCAACGGCAATGAACTCCAGTTGCGCTTCGGTATCCTACGTCGCCTCTACTCACTCGGTTTTCGACAGGCTGATCACCCGAACCCAACCTGCAGCACGCACATCAACGACCACGGCACCCAGCGAACCGCCTGAAAACTCACCTCTTGATCATGGGCCACCTGCACCGACCACCACTACTGCCAGTACACCTGCGGCTTCAAATCCACCATCGACAACCCACACCAGGACAGCCTCTACACACCATGAAACTTCCGATCACACAGCCCCAGACCACAGACACCACCATTGGGACAATACCTCAACATGGGACGACTCTACCACTGCCCATCGGGGCAATTATTCTTCTTACCGTGAAGGTCGCTCTCGAGATCATCATCGTGAAGGCTACTCCCGACACTACAATTCCCCACGCGATTCCTACAGATCCCGCTGGTAAGCACTATACCAATGAGGAGCACTCCTGAACTCCGTGACTACCTCAATGAAGAGCACTCCTGAGCCAAGTGGCCCCGACCGATCATTTTGGAGTAACAACGCTTCTCCCGACCCTTCGGTATTCATCGCCACTTCTTCCGTCAAAACTCGTTGGATTTGCTGACTACGAACTCATCAGCTTCCTTTTTATTTATCTATTTATTCATTGGGCAGTACTCGTTCGAATGGCTGGGGCTAAGCCGATCACCCCATGAAACAAACTCACACCAAACGCGCTCTGATATATTGAGATACGCTAATGTATGTATACCGACAATGGCTGGGGCTAAGCCATTCACCCCACAGTGATTTCATGCACAGTTGGGCTGATGCCCCTCGCCGATTTGTATTTTGACATTTCCCGCACTTTAAGCTGTGGCTTATTGCTATTATCCTCGGCCGAGCACCCTGTGATCGTCGTCTCCACCATGCAATGGCGTCCCAAGACCTGATCTCTCAATTCAGTCAAGATTCGAGTGGTATCCCTGCTGCGCAACCTGACCGTTCACGCACCCCTCGACGACCTCACCACGATTGGCATCAACCGGTACCTACGTTTCGTGGACCCATGCACTATGCAATGACGACCCCTCGCCCCTTTTGGCATCCTGCTGGAGTACCTCCTCCGCCACAATGCATTGACCTCATCGTTCTCATCACGCCCAACTTGGACTCCGACGGCACCACACTCAACATTTCCACCTACACCGCCGACCTTTTCGCAAACACCTCCTGATCATACAAATCTTACACCTCAACGACACAACCTCACCCCGAGATCGCCGAGGCCTATGGCATCACCTTTGGGAAGTTCCCCGATCCGAGAAGGCTACACTTGCCGGCCCATTGAAATTCCACCTGTGGAACTATGCCGGACGTCGACTTTCACGACTCCAACAAGGTGAATGGTTTGGATTTTCCTTGCAAAATCCGCCAAAGTCGGTTCTCCAGCTACAAAGACATCGAAGGCATGGATCCATTGCAAGTCCCACTTTGGAAGTTCTTGTACCAAGGATTACACAATACATGGCTTCGCCGTATTGCCTATGGAAGAGAAACCTTCGTCCTCCCATTTGACAACATTGGCACTACAGTATTTATTGCGGAATTGGTCTCGCAACTACGCACACGGAATGTGGACTTGGACAAGTTGGCGACTTTCAAGTCACGCTCAGCTTGCCAATTTGTGAACCAGAAGGAAGCCACTCAGAATATGGCCAAAGAGGTTGCTCAACTGCTTCAATCTTGGCTTCCCTCCCAACCGTCAGCTGACAACGCCAGCCAACAGCGCATTCTTGAATTAGAAGCAGAACTTGCAAAGATGAAATCGGACAATTCTCAGCATCGACCAACCGTACCGGAAGTACCAGGACACGCTTCGACACCAATTGGACGAGCACTACAAGGACAACCATCGGCGTCAACATCTTTCGAGCCTTCGTCTCTATTGGTTTCCCCGGGATCTGTCAATCCATGGCTTGTGGAAAGCCAACCTTCTTCGTTGACGGAGACCCAGTACAAGAAATGGCTGAAGGATTTGAAACTTCCTCAACACAAACAAGAGACCTTGGAGAAGCAATTGGAGAAAGTTATGGAATGGTGGCAAAACCAACAAGACGATGCCGTCAAAACGATCCAGAGAGCCAGTGTGGCGATGGGTATCGATCCATGCAAACACAAGAATGCGGCCACTGATGAGATTGTCCTCAAGGTCATGACGGTAGCAATGCTGATGCACTCCTGACTAGCTTCGTATTTGAATTCTCCTGACTCAAAAGCAGCCCGGATTATGCGAGATTTGGCCGTTACACATTCCTGTATTCTTTCTCTTGCCTTGTTGACTCCTTTCACTCTGTCCCCCTCTGTTGATGTCTTTTTTGCTTTTCGTATGATTCAAACGGCATTCATGGGGCAGTATGTGTTACTGCACCCACGAGCTAATTCGAAACTGGCCTTGTTGAAAGGCACTCCGTTGCGGCGCATTTTCTTTTGCACATCATGGGACGACTTGCAAGTCGCCCTCCAATGTTTCAAACATTCTCAGGCAGTGTATGTTCGTTTCTGCCATATTGCTAATTTCCAACCGAAATTTTATTTGGGATCCACTTCTTCTTTTGTATTGGATCGCGAACACTCCCGCTATCGGAAGTTTCTACAGGTGCAACAGAACAAATTCGTATTGGCCGAAGTTGCCCTACGGTTTTGGTGTAGATACGACAACTTCTGGATGTGGTCTGTCTTCCCAATCTACACCAAAAAAATCCAATTTTTGGGCTTTGGAACAAGCCTTAATTCAACTGTGGCAACCTCAATTGAATACTCCGTTTATTTATCAGTTTTTCAATTGCCGAAAGGGACTGATCCCTCGGACCAAGTTCTCGAGTTCACGTCAGTTTGGATTCTACTCGTTGTGGCGCAAACTACGATGGAAGTCAACCCCTGCACAAGTACGGCGAGCTCTTCACAGTCCCATATTTATGGTCGCCGAGTCCAACTCTGGGAAATCATCCAAGACCTCGGGAGCACTTCTGTCAAACGATTCCACATGGAGAAGCGACTTCGCTCCAACGAGATCGGCCAACAAGGATGCTACTTCATTCGACGCCTTGCCAACAACCTTGGAGAACCCCAATGTTCTTATGCCATCAATGCCATCGATCGAGCCCTGACCTTTTGGAAAGCCAAACGAGCCCGCAAACCCGTTCCGCTTCGAGCACTCTGGCTCCTGGCTACAGATTGGACTCGTCATCTACGACAACTTCTTACCACCCACGTACACCTGACCAAGCAGTACAACACCACTCTTCAGACTCCTTCCACTGGTATTGTATTCACCAAATTTCCATCGGTCATGGACAGCCTATGCAATCACAAAGAAGCTGCTACTCGGTGGGCAGACGGCGAGACCCCGATTTGTGCATGTCCAGCTCTCCGACAACATTCACCTTTACCTCATCAACCCGACCCCTGAGAATCGGATATTGAATACAATCAATATTCTTTCTACTTTTTTGAATTGATTTTTTTTTACTGCTTACAATTGATTTTTTCAAAAAGACTCAGGTTGAATGGATTGATTTCCTTATTGATTTTCTTATTGATTTTCTTATTGATTTTTCAGTTGAGTTGTTTTTGCTGTTTTTGGTGTTTCCATATAGTGGCTTGTGTTCATGATTTGTTTCTAGTGTCTACTATGGGGTCAACTTTTCCAGTAACTGGTAACCTTGCTACATCTGCTGTAACCATGCCTCTCACAGCCATTTACTTTCAAGTGTGACTTTGCACAAAAAGGTCTCCAGTCTAACTACCCTTGAAACAAGGGACACTTGCAATAAGTGAGCATGTCCAGCTCTAAGGGTGGAGCTAGACATTTCTCCAAGCCCTTCATTGAAAGTGGCCTGCTGCTGAAGGTGCTGCTGAAGCATGAGGCCTTGATTAAAAATTTCAAGGTGTATGAATTGTTGAGCAGAAACAGTGCTGTGGATCCATCTTCCATGGTCCATGCCTTGGAGTTTGTATGTGACATTCTGGAGTTGGAACCTCAATGTGAAATCCACCCAGCACCATTGAGAAATGGGTTGCTGAGCATGCTGCAGTCAAAGCCCTCTGTGAACAACACAGAGCACAATGGTGCTGTGTGGGTGCACATGAGGGCTGAAAGAATCAATGTCCTCTTGTTCCATGTCAGGAGGCTGGCAAGGACTGGCATAAACAGTGCCTGTGCTGCAGCCTTGACTAGCTTGGAACTCACCAGGCTTCAAGACACCTTGAAAAAGGTGGCTCTGAAACCTTTGGAAAAGGGTGACACAGCTGAGGAGGAGCAACCTTTGCAAAAAGGTGAAGATAAAGAGGGCCAGGGGAATGAGAAAAAGAGGAAACTCAAGGTCCAGCCCAGTGATGTCAGCCTGGACTCCAGAGGTTTTCCCAGCATGCTGAAGAGCCCAGAGCAATCCAAAATGAAGGCTGGGCCAAGCAGAATCTTGTCAAAGAGGGTGGGACAAACCCTTGTGAAAGGGGAAGTGGCAAAGAAGGCGGGTTTGAGAGAGGCAATGGGTTTGACAAGGATCAGAAAAAGAAGCCTGCAGCTGCCAGCAGCAAAGCTAAAGCAAAGCCAAAGGCAAAGGCTTGCTTGAAAAAACCCAGTGCCAAACTGAAGGGTAACCATGCTGCATTGGAAGGTGATGGGCCTTGGCTGACCTTGCAAAAGGTCAATGGGAGCAAGCCAGAAAGGGCTTATGTGCTTGGCTCCAAAGTGAAGGGTGTCAAGCCCAAGCTGATCATTGAGGTCACCAAGACCATGTCCAAAAGGTACAGTTTTGTGCTGGACAAAATCATTGACTCCTTGAAAAAGGAGAATCTGTGCAAAGAGGATGCAAGGTCTTTGAGAGCACAGCTTTGCTCTACATACCCTTGAAGAAGGGGAAGCCCAACCTTTGCAAAAGGGTATCCAATAAATACCTTTGGGAAAGTCCATTTCTGCTCAGATTTTTCTGGCAGGCACCATTGAGAAATGGATTTATCCTGATTTTTCCTGAGAGCCACCTTTGAAAAAGGGTTTAGTCTCAATGATGCAGCAAGAGCAAAGGTGAAAAACAGCAGCTGCAAGTGAAGGTGCAGTGTTAAAACCACCAGGGTACCCCCAACAAATGAATAGATAAATCAATAAGATACTACATAGATAACACATATATACATAAAGATACACACATATATATATATATATACACATATACATATGGGGTGGTTAATGTTTGGGGTTATATGTTTGGGGAGGCATGTTCAGTTCTGTGCATGCTGTGCCAGCAGCATGGTTTTTATGTTCTGCAGCCCTTTGTAATCTCAAGCTCGACCCAAGATTACCCGGCTGTTTTTCAACAACCCTTGCCAAAGGGGAATGCTCAACAAGTCCTTGCCACAAGGCTTGTTCCAACCCTTGGAAGAAGGGGATCACCAAGACCAGGCATGGACACCACAAATGAGGCTGACCAAAGACAGTCCATCCTGGATGTGGAAAAAAAACAAGGCTGCACCTGGCCTCTGCTGATGGAAAAAACAAAGCAGGGAGGAAAAAAGGTGCTGGGTGCACCTCCAAGGCAAGAAAGGAAAAAAGAATGGGCATCCCCCCAAAAGATAGCCCTGCCAGGGAAGAATGGGATGAAAAAAAGGAGTGGGAGGAGAAGGGGTGGTGGTGGAACCCTTGGAAGAAGGGGTGGGTATGGTGGGGAAAGGATGAGGAGGAGGACCCTAGAGGGTGGGCATGGTGCAGAAGCCCTGTCAGGGCCAGAAGCACCTCCAACAGGAGGAGGACCTATGCCAACAGGGGCAGAAGCAGCTCCAGCAGCAGGAGCAACCCTAGAAACAGGGGAGCCAGAAGCCAGTCCCAGAGGCCCACCTTGGTCTGGCAAAAAAAGGAGCTGGGCAAGATCAAGGAGGAAGAGCCATCTTCCAGCACTGGCCCAGGCCCAGCACCCTTGAAAAAGGGAGAGAAACTGGGGACTGTCATGGTTGACTTCCACAACACCTTGGAAGTTCATGATGACATCCCTGAGGAGAACCAGGAGGCAATCTGGTCACTCTTGAAAAAGGGTTATGATGTGGTGGTCTGCTCCTTTGCAGGCAGGCAAAGGGCCTTGGAAGTGAATGACACAATGGTGGCCCAAGACTTCTACCAACACTTGAAAAAGTGTTTCTGCATTTCAAGCAGGTGTGGAAATGGTGGGAAAGCAGACCAGTGCAAAAAACTGGGCTGCACAGTCATCTTCGATGATGGTGCTGACATCTGCTGTGAATGCTACAACCATGGCCTGCAGGTGTTTCCCATCACACACCCCAAGGAGAAGCACCAATGGTGGGAGGCCATGGGTGGCAAGACCTACCCCACCCTGGCAGATGCTGTGAAGACCTTCCTCCACCAAGAAGGTGTCTGAAGGGGGTGGGCTACCCTTGCAAAAGGGCTTGCAAAAACACAACCCTTGGAATAAGGGGATCTACAAACCCTTGCAATAAGGGGATCTGCAAAACTACCCTTGAAAAAGGGACCAATTAATTAGCAAGTATATGCTAACCCTTGCAAAAGGGAGTTTCACCTGCATGTTTTTGGTGTTTTTCAATGGTCTGCAGCTGCCATGAACTGTTGTGTAGATAAGTGCTTCATCTCCCAAAAGAAATCATCAGTCAAACATTCACTGTTTGGTTTGCCAACTATATGTTTTGCTCTGTTTTTGGAATGGCAGCTGCAGACCAACTTACAGGCTCCAACAGCTTGCACAGCCAAGCCATCTCAAAGTAAATGAGATAAAAATATGAAATTATCAAAAATATTTATAAAAACATAATTTAAATATATAATTTGGATATAATTTGAAAATATAAAGTATTTATTAGATGTCCTAATAGATACCACATAGTAGATAAATACACACACATGTTTATATATACATATATATATATAAACATGAATGCACATATATATATATATATATATAATTTGCTCCTGTGTGTACATGTTTGAAGGTTTCTTTTTTGGTTGAACTATATTCTACCCAACAATATGTATTTTTTTACTATATTTGAACCCCCTTAAAATACTGCAAAGTAGGAAACAATGAAAAAACAAGAGGCAATGCCATGCATGACCTTAGCAATAGTGGCAGAAGCAGCTCCAGCAGCAGGAGCAACCCTTGGGAAATGGTATGGGCAGCCTTTGAACCCTTGAGAAAGGGTATGAACAGTCCAAATGATTGTTTGCTTTCTGTTTCTAGGCCCTTGGGAAAGTGTATGGACAGTCTTTGGACCCTTGAGAAAGGGTATGAACAGTCCAAATGATTGTTTCCTCTCTGTTTCTGGGCCCTTGGGCAAAGGGAACTTGTTTTTGGACCCTTGGGAAAGGGTATGAACAGTTCAATTGATGGTGTGCTTTCTGTTTCTGGGCCATTGGGAAAGGGGGATTTGATTTTGGACCCTTGGGAAAGGGTATGAACAGTTCAATTGATTGTTTGCTTTCTGTTTCCCATGTGTTTTCCATTAGACATGGGGTAGTACCTACTAATTCCTAGAGGTGTTTTTTTTTGTGAATCAATACCATTGGAAAATGGTTTTGGAACATTTGTTCACCTTTTTATTGTTCTTTTTTGGCAGGATTGAAACCTGATGAAATCTGATGAAATCTGATGAAATCTGATGAAATCTGATGAAATCTGATGAAAACTGACTTTTCATCAGATTTCATCAGATTTCACCAAATGTTTATATTTCTGGGAAAATCAACTTTTCTCTCAATTGGCTAGTATCACCAGGGCCACCTGCAGGCATTTCAGCTTTAGTAGATCCAATTTGTACAGCTTTCCTGGCCATGGGAAAACCAATGAAAAGACCAGCCCTTGCAAAAGGGTCGCCAAAACAACCTTTGAAAAAGGGAATCCTCAAAAGACACAACTTGAAAAAGTTGGGGGAGATGAATCTCAAAGAAAAGGTGCTGCAGGTCACTAAAGAACATGATGATGAGAATGTTGCTGCAGCAGAGCTTCAGAAGCAGCTCACCCCTGCAGAGAAGAGCAGGGCTTGGGGCAAGCACCAAACCCACCTTTGCCAAAAGGGAAATGAAGAAGAAAAAAAAAACTTTGAAAAAGGGAGCAAGAAAGAGAAGGGCTACCTGACTGCCTTGTTTTTGATGAGGCAGGAAGCCCCCAAGTTTTGCACCACTTCAGAGTCAGTCCAAGCAGAAAGCAAGCTTACCTACAGAGAGAAGTGGATGTCAGAGAAAGAAGCCATGGAGAAATTTGGTGATGACCTGGAGCATCACATTGCCTCAGGCAGAGTGAGCTGGCGGGAGTGCAGCAGGACATGGGGAGTCTATGAATACCTTGACAATGAAGATTATGAAAAAACAACTACTGGCAAGAAAACCAGAAAGTGGACCATGGCACAAGAGTATGAGATGGCAGAGGATGAAGCCCAGTCTTGGGAGGACCACTTGCAGAAGGAGCTCCACTCCTTGCTCATGGAGCACACCCCTGGGAAGGGGTCTTCCCTTGTGAAAGGGCATGGCAAAGGTTCAGGTAAAAAAGGTAGCAAAGGAAAGACTAAAAGTAAAGCAAAAACCAGAGACACCCCAGCTCTGGAGGACATGCCCCCTGAGGAGCAGATGGGTGAGGGATTGAAGAAACTCAAAAGGACCAAAGAGCTCTTGACCCAGACCTACAGCAACTATGAGGAAGCACTTGAAAAAGTGAAGACCTTGAAGTACCTCACAAAGCCTGCCTTGAAGGATGAGAAGCAGCTGGAGCAGTTGGAAACCACACTTGGGAAAGTGAAAAAACTCCTTGCAAAAGGAGACAAGAATAATTTGGATGGTATCAAGGAAGCCTTGAAAGATGCAGTGGCAACACTGCAGGAAGCCAAAGATGAAGCAAAGGAACTGGTGCAGATCAGCCTGAAGACACAATCCAAAGCGTCAAAACAGTGAAGAGCTGCAGAAAGAACCTTGCAAAAGGGCAGGCAAGGAATACCTTTGCAAAAGGGAATTGAAAGTGCAGCCAAAAAGGGTCACCTTTGAAAAAAGGATGATGGGTATGTGAGAATACACATGCCAAGCCCCAGAAGGAAACCACCCTTGCAAGAGGGGACACTTTTTTATGGCTGAACCCAGCCTTTTTTTAAATTGAAGCTGCACTGTCAGCTTCAAGCACAGTGAGCCATAGCCTGTGCCAAAAAGAGGTGGGTGTTGCTTGTGCATGGGCTGCAAGGGGTTTGGGTGCTTAAAAGAGGTTTGTGTTTTGTTCTTGCAAGGGTTTGTGTTTGTGGTTTTGTGTTCTGAAACAATTGACACTTGAATTTGGGTTTGGCAGTGGCAGTTTCTTTAACTCATGCAAGTTTTGGCCCTAGCTGAAGCTTTCTCTTCCACAAAGTGGAAAAGTTTCCAGCACCCTTGCAAGAAGGGAAACCGCCCAAAACCCTGGAAACAGGGATGGCAAAAAGACTTAGAGGATGGAAGTTGGACCAGGCCCTGAACAGGGGGAGTGAAAAGAAAGCCCTTGTGAAAGGGAAGTGCAGCAACTTAGCAACTGCATTGCTCAGCCTGTGGTCCCATGGGAAGCTAGCTGCAAGCACTTGCAGGTGGCTAGCTGAGCAAGCCATCTTAGATGGTGCCACACACCCAGAGCTTCATGATTTAGCAAAGGCTGGTTGCCATGGACAATACCCAGCCAATGTGCAGAGAGATATCTGTGCAAGGTTTATCAAAGATGTGTTTGTGCCTGAGCCAACCATGGTCACTACCAGGTGCATTAACACAAAATCCTTGAAAAAGGAGGAGGAAGAAGCTGGTGTATTCCTGCCACACCTGATGTTTGCCAGCTTGGGCACCCTGCCAAATTTCAGCCAGCTATTTCCAGTGGAATATTTGGAAACCTTTTGGACCACACTTGAAAAAAGTGGAGACCCTGCCCTCAAGGATCACCCCATGAAAGTCAAAAATTGGAAAAAATTCACCATACCCATTTTTGTCCATGGGGATGGTGTCCAGTACTCACAGGGCAACAACCTAATGGTGTGGTCCTGGGGTGCATTGATGGCATGCTTCAACTCACTGCAAAGCAAATATCTCATTTGCTGCTGGCCCAAAAATGCCACATCAGACCAGACATGGCCTGACCTCCTCAAGGAGATCACTTGGTCTTTTGCTTCCCTTGCAAAAGGGTTCCACCCCACACATGACTCTTCTGGCTCACCTTTGAAAAAGGGATCCCCTTTCTTTGAGATGAGAGGCAAACCATTGAGAAATGGGTACAAAGCAGTTATTTGGGCCATACAAGGTGATGCAGAGTGGCAAGCCAATTCACTTGGCTTGCCCCACTGGGCCAGCACCCACCCCTGTGCTGAGTGTGATGCTACCTCTGACCCTTGCAACAAGGGGAAGTACTTCAAGAACATCGAGATTGACACCCAGGAGTTTGTCAAGGTCACCCATGATGAGGCCTTGGCAAACCCTTGCAGCTCCAACCTGCTCTTCCATGCCATCCCAGGGCTGTCAACAAAGTTTTGCAGAGGTGATGCACTACACATCATGTTTGTGGGGGGCATCCACAGCCATTTATTGGGCTCTGTTTGCCACTACCTGTGCTACTACAATGGGCCTGGACGACAAAAAAAATCACCTCAGGAGAGATTGGGGGTACTGTGGGAGAGCCTGCAGGATGCATACAAGACACTTCAAAGCAAAACAAGGTTAACCAACCTCAGGTTAAGTATGTTCACAGACCCCAAGCATCCCCACTCTGCATACCCCACCTTGAACATCAAGGGGAGTGAGTCAAAACACCTCCTCCCAGCACTGCTCTTGGTATGCCAGTCCATGCTCAATCCTGGCATCTTCCATGAGAGGTGCATGCTGGAGTGCATGGAACACTTGCAAAAAGTGGTCGACATCTATGATGAAGAAGACATTGTCTTAACCATTGAAAAATGGACAGAGGTTTTCACCCTTGCAAAAGGGTTCCTGGACACCTACTCCATCCTCAACCAATGGGGAGAGGAGGAGGAGAGGTTGCTGTTCCACAAGGTCTACAAGTTTCATTCTTTCCAACATTTAGTGGAGAACAGCAGGTATCTGAATCCAAAGAGCACTTGGTGCTTCTCTAATGAAGATTTTGTGGGCAAGATTTCTTGCCTCACCTTCAGCATCAGCCCAGGAGTTGCTGCTAAGAGATTGAGTGCCAAGGTTGCACCAAAATACAGGATTCTCCTGCATCTCCTTCTCACCAGGGACAATTTTGAGGACACATTGCAGGAGTTCTCCTTTGACCTTTGAAAAAAGGGAAGGTGCAACCTTATTGCCTTTGGATACCCTTGAGAAAGGGAAGTTTGAACCTCTGCCTTTGGATACCCTTGAAATAAGGGAAGCTTGACTTGGGATACCCTTGAAATAAGGGAAGTTTGATGCCCTGGATACCCTTGAAGTAAGGGAAGTTTGGTGCTCTGGCCATGGATACCCTTGAAGGAGGGAAGTTTGATTCTCTGGCCCTGGATACCCTTGAAGTAAGGGGAGTTTGATGCTCTGGCCCTGGATACCCTTGAAGAAGGGAAGTTTGATTCTCTGGCCTTGGATACCCTTGAAGAAGGGGAGTTTGATGCTCTGGTTCTGGAGGTGTTGGCCTTTGCTAGGGGTAGCAGGAAACTTTTAGCACCTTGGCAAGCTGAAAAAAAGTTGCATGCTGCTGCTCTGGCTGGACAGTGTGGGCTGGTCATGTGTCAGCATTGAAACATAGACTTTTAAGTGGTCTCTTAAATTGATTTTTATATTGATTTTCATATTGATTTTGGACCTCTTTTTCCTATGATTTTCCAATTGATTTGAAAATCAAAAAAATCAATATTTGACAATTGATTTTTTTGATTTTTTTTGGCAAAAAAAAGAATATTGATTGTATTCAATATCCGATTCTCAGGGACCAACACCTCGTTCTTGATGGAGACAATCTACAATTCGCCGATGCACCTTTACATCCATTGCTACGGGCTCACTTCAAAACAAGATCTTTCCACCATCCAAAGAGATTTACAATTCCCTTCGTTCTGCTCTGACGACATGGACTACGAGGAATTCACTCCCATCATTGCCAAAAGTACATCTTGACGATCTCTGGCAAAGGTCTATCCAATCTCACAACTTCTCACTCCACAACCACATCACCCATTACACGCTTCAAGCAACTTTTCCCAGAGGCCATCTTTCACAATGAAGACAAACGAGCTACATCCCTTCGAATTTATTGTCCAGTGATCTACTACCAATGCCTCACCAAGACTTTCGCCGACCCATTGGTTTTTCGAAAATTGGACGATAGCCCAAACCACATCATCGAGAAGACCATCGCCGACATCATCAAGCAATTTGGCAAATCATACCCTTGGGCTCTTGGTGCTGGAAGAGATTTACTGAATGCATACGTCCTACCAAAACGCAAGAAACAGTTCCTGGCAGGAAGACTCATTGTGAGCTTCTTTACTGCACCTTTCCGACCCATGCTGACCTGTATCGCCAAGATGATCTACCACTTACTGCCACAAGCCTTCCCTCACAACCTGGCCAAAGGGGACGTATTTGACCTCATCAAACTTCTCAAAAACACCGATTTTGACAATCTTACTACACCTCGTATATACAACCAAGACCTCGCTGGCTTCTTCACAAGCATCGACACTGACAGGTTTATTGACAGTTGGCGACTCACCTTGAAGTTTTTATCATCCATCATGAGCACCGACCCTGACGAGATCATCTCCGTGAAGGCAACCCCGGGCAACACTACAGGTGACGTTGTCAAAGGACGTACGTGCCGCACTCTGAACGTGACAAGGAAAATCTCCATTCGGGATATTGAACGCATCATCCTGATGTCCCTGAAGATGACCCAGTTCTCCATCGGCACATCAGTCCCTAGGGGGCCGTTCGATCACAAAAACGGAGTCCATTCCACCCACGGCCTCCGGAAAAAAAATTCACGCACATTGCTGGTTTGAGGCCAGACACCCAAAAGAGCATGAAAATTCACGATTTTCACGTTTTCACGGTTTCACGTTTTCACGTTTTCACGTTTTCACGTTTTTCACGTTTTCACGGTTTTCGTGGTTTTCACGTTTTCACCGTTTTCACGGTCTGTAAGGTTTTCGTTATCTGTCTTGGTGGACAGTTCGAGCACTTTACATAGGCGAAAGACTTGTGGAAACGGTTCGCTCCGCTACCATCTGAAAATTCTCAAAGCCAGACCTGGCATGTTTATAGCAAGGCCATGCTCGGCATTTAGTTGCTTCACAGTTGTTTCCCTCCCACCCATATACTCCTATACACATGAGCTTTGATCTCATTTTGGAACGCTTGAGCCTTGAGCCAATCGCCATCGATCTGCCTGCTCGCTTTTTTAGATATGGAAAAATGGATCGACAAATACTCAGCATATAATCAAAAAATGAAACAGTCAAGTTTCTGAGTCCCACCATGATATGTTATTATATGTTATTATTTGTTGTTATTATATATCCGTTGATGTAAAAATTAAACACGTAAGCAATTAAATTAGGAGACGTTCAATTCAAACCACTTAGAAACACAAATGTAGAACCATGGGCAGCCACGCGCCCAACGCGCAACTTCCCAGCCCGGTTTCTCAGCTGCGAGTCGGCCGCAGGGTGCAAGTCAAAGATTGAGAGGCCAAATCCCCCAAATTTTTCTGGAGGTGTTGTGGTATCGACAACAGCCAACGCTGAAGACATCGGACTTGGGATCCTCTACAATCTGTTAATCCCATGGTTTTCCCAATCGTCTTGAGAAAGCCCTCGTCCATCCAAGTACTATACCGGCTTTGGTTGATACTCCGTGGTGATCGAAAAATATGACACATCATATGCAGTTTGGGGCGCACCCGCCACAGCAAAGCATTGTTTTCCATGGCAATTCTTGCCATGGAAATGTATGTGCGAAGCAAACAGTCACCAAGAATTGCTAAAGATTCTTTTTCCTGTTCATTCAAGAAAAGGTTGGCGCTGTACATCAAAGAAATGGCCCTGTTGCCGGCCCACAGCATCGTGCAAATCTCTGGGAAAGTTTGCGAGTGATTGGACAGCAAATCTTCCAGCCACACGCCCACCACAAACGCATCATAACCCGATGCTGCAAGCGATGGGTATTTTCGAGTCTGCCAGCACAACTTGGACTTGGTAAGTTTCTTGATGCGTAGAGGGTATCGTTTTTGTTTTGCAAAGGCCCTTAAGGATTCCGATGCCAGTTTCAAGCGATCTGCTATGCAAGGTGCATTAAACACCAGCCGCTCTGACAGTATCAATTTCAACGCGCTTCCCAGCAAATCGCGCGCCAAGCCAAGATTCCAGCAGTGCAAGAGGTCAGGAACCACCATGCCAATCTCAAAACCTGTGATGTTGGAATAGCTAGGTGGGCTATCCCATGGCACTTCTCTCAGAAACGTTTGCCACCAACCTGCAGTAGGAGACACATCAGTCATACAGCAACTCAAGTCGTCGTCTTGACCTTTGGTCGCTTGGCACAGCCAACATACCTGCATGCAGCATGGCAGGTGCAGTACTTGGCCAGTCAGGGTGGAAGCTTCCAAAACCAGCGTTTCTTTTTTAAACTGTGTGATTTTCCCTAAACACCACACCTCGTTCACCGAGTAGTTGCGCTTCATGTTAAAGAGAGCAACAAGCGCTTTCCAGTCACCTCTGTAACCCAGCACGTACAGCCGCAAGCGCCCAACCTAGTCACGCACACACATGCGATTCCACGCACGAACATCTTGTTTACTGGCACCAGTTTGAACATGTTCGAAAGGAAAACATATTGCACCTATGCTCATCAAAGGCACTAAGCCACCCCCAAGCGATGCTAGATCACGGACTGGAATGCCAAAATTGCTTAATCGGTTGAATGAGTTTGCAATGGCGTGGGTCAGCGCTTGTATTGTGATATTCACACCATTTTCATACACATACCGACTTGCTGGCACAATGCAGATTGGCCAACGGCTGCTTGGTGAATGGGATAACACTGGCGAAGTGTCACTGCTCCACAAAAGGAACATCCATGAGTCGTTCAAACAGTCGATTTCGTCTCCTAATTTTCGAAACATTGTTTTTTTGGGCACGGAAAGAACACCAATGCTTATGGGTGCCAAATTGAAAACCACAAGGAAACATAAAACCAACACTGGATTTCGATCTAGGCATCCATACAGTGTGCAGCCGATACTTGCCCGCAGCTGTGGGTCATTGTCCTTTGCAGGGTGGCCAGGGAAATCCTTCAGCATGCCCTCCCAGTACGCAGGAAGATCACGAAGATCTCGAACTAATGCAGCTAGGTACCCTTCAGACACCAAAGTTGAAGCCTGATGTCTCACATCAAGAAACCCCAAAAAAATTCCGTCCACCAAAAACCAAATCAATTAAGTGAAAATTGTTTGGATCCTCATAACCCAGAAAACAATATGCAAATTGGTTTAAACCAGAACGCTCAGAAACGAAATCTTCCGGAAGAATGATTGGCCACTCGACCAGTTGAAAAGATGGGTCATCGACGTTCTCCTTGAGTGGAATCGTCACGTAAGAAATCTTGCAGGGAAGACCAGCGCCACAGTGACCAGCGCGAGCATGTAGTCCTCGTTCTTTGTCCGACCTTGTATGCGCAGGATACCATGCGACACAGACATTCACATGCACATGCATGCACACACAGTCATGTGGACACTGGCGTGTTTACACACCCACATACGCTCATGCGTGCACAAGCCCGCACTTGGAAAATACAAAATACCAACATGAGCCTGCACCCATGCACACCCCTTAAATGCAGCCCGATGCACGCAAGCAAATCGCTGTCATACACTTCTCCCACCAGCCGCGAATGCTTCACAGACGCGTGACCGCTGCCAATTGAGAAAGCCAACCTCAGATTAGATTCTTTGACAATGCTGAAGCTGGTTGGTGGGAAACAAGAAGCATGCCTTTCTGTTTCCTGGGTTATTTACTAAAAATGGTTACGTGATGTGTGCTAGGAACGCTTGATCAAGCCGTTCTCGTAAAAGTTGATGAGCGCTTTTTTGGAAATCACCTGCGTGGGGCACAACCACCAACACATCGGAGTCGAGTGAAAAACTAACAAGAGTCAAAGCTTCGAGTGTGCATTTTTTCCAGCGTTGGATTCAGATTGCCGTGGATCAACCCAGCACTCTAGTTTCAACGTCAACCTTCGACAGGTCAGTTTGGAAGTTGTTGCGCAACCTACAGGCATTACGCCACTCAGCGCCCCCATCATGTCAAACGGCCGGGTGTTGATCAAGGTTATATTTATATAGAATAGATAATAATAGAATATACATATAGATATGTGATAAACTAAAAAAATAATAGCTACACATATCTGTCTAGATAGATGTGTATATATATATATATAAATTATGGATGTATGTTTACATGGGCCCTATTCAACTTTTTTGCAGTTTTTGATCGCAAAGATGGGGGCCCCTCTATGTAGCATCCTGCCATCCCAAAACGACTCAAATCTGACTTTGAGCCAGCTAATGCCAAAAACGCAAGCTTCCAATTGGCCACACAGCGAGGTTTCAATCCTTCTCATCCTTCTTCAGCTCAGCTGCGACAGCACGAGCCTGAGCCCGGACCAAGCGAGCAGCCTTCACCTGGGCGAAATGGAGGTGGACTAACACAGGGGATCTTAGTGATAGTGGAAAAAAGTGTATGATTGGCTCTATCTCTCCCTCTCTCTCTCTCTCTCTATCTAATAAATTTTTAAAAATACATTATGTATACATGTGTTTTTACATACATCTTTGGGTGGAGTGTTTCGAAGTATAATGTATTTTAACCTACATGGGTAAAATATTGTAAACGTTTGAAATTTGAAATGCGAAGAGTAGCCAGATCAGCACACGTGGCCGCAAAAGTGTCCAGATCATCGTCCGCAACATCCTTCGCCCTTAGCTGAGGGACGAAATCAAATGAACATAAAATATGTTCAACACCATTTACATAGATGGGTGAAGTTCGAAGTAAAAAAGAATTGGGAACAACAACATTCTGGAGACATCACCATGGAACTCATCCAAATGTTTCTCCAAATCCTGCTTCTTGGACAAAAGCGGGCCACGCAAAGGGTTGTCCTGGGGCAAGTCGGCGCCAACAGACAAACACTGGGTGAGCTCCCTCTTCAGCTGGTTTCCTTGCGCGCACATTGTGTCACAAAAATGCGGGGAAAAATAATGGGGGTAAGCTGACAGGGAAAAATGAAAAGAAGCTCAGTATAACGCTTTGGCATAAGATCTTTCACACAATAGCTCCAAGTTTCGCAGAGCGTTCCGATGTTCAGCGGGGGTCTTGGGCTGCTGCTGTGCCACTGCCTTGGCTTTCGCCTTTGCTTTTGCCTTTGCTTTGGGAATTACCGTGGCCTCACTGGGGGCAGCATTGGCAACATCAACCAAAGCTTTGAGCGTAGGACCATTGCCACACCGGCCACCAGCACCATTGCTAGCAGCATCCACATCAAGACCGCCACCCACCATAGATGCCAAGCAATCACCACTCGTCTCAATGCGCGCAGAGGCCGTCGCACTGATGGTAGTAGATTCACGTTGTGCACTGGATCCCCCAACAGTCGCCCAAAATCGAACAGATTCCGGGTCTTCAGGTGCATCTGCATCAGGAAATGGGGTAGACCTGGAAATGATGCTATCGATCTTGTTCCTTAGATGAAAAATTTGCCACGCATCAAGAAACACAACACATGTGACTAAATCATACTAAATCAAAATATTTGTTGTTCACCCCTTTCTCCAAAAAATACATTTTATGCCATGTAGGCACTGTGAAAAACCACGAGATCGCATTTCTGCGATGGTCAACAGCTCCCGACGGTGTTCCACGGTTCCGGATTCTTCACGGGTCACGGTAAGATGCGTCTCAACTGCTTTGAGATTTTCATGGTTCTCCACAAACTCCCTCAAGAGTTCTTGCTTTTCCTGAAGGCGTGAAACATGAGGTTATACAGTTAGCCCAGTGGTCCAGAACCCGTTTCTAAAGAGTTGAAGGTAAAAACATAGCAAATGTCATTTGTATGGGCAAATCTTGCAAAGAATCTTTCCTCCCTCCACTCCAAAGCCGGTGAACATTCGGGAACTTGGCAACCTCAACCTTTTCCATCTTTCGAACCAAGCGTGCGTAAGCAGCCCTGTGGGTGCTACTGTTGGGATCAGCCATGGGTTTGGGATCAGGAGTGAAGGTCACCTTAGCAGGCTTCCGGTTCTCAGATACCTCAGGCTTCACAGGATCAGGCTTCCGGTTCTCGGATACCTCAGGCTTCACAGGATCAGGCTTCCGGTTCTCGGATACCTCAGGCTTCACAGGAGCAGGCTTCCGGTTCTCGGATACCTCAGGCTTCACGGCAGGCTTTGACTTGACAGGTTCCTTGGGCACAGAGGGGTGAGTAGGTACTGCAGATCCCACAGACACACGGCCAGGTCTTGATCCCGATGGGGCACCATCCCGAGCCTTCTCCACCTCTTCACACACCCCACCTCCACACACAGGAAACATAGAGAGCAACTGCGGGGCTAGCACACCAACCACACTGCGCATGGAAGGATCACCAAGGACATGCTGGATATGGGACAATGACTTCACAAAATCTTCCAACTGATCTTCGCCAGGGCGATGAGCTTCAGAAGCCGATGGGCCCAGCCTCAAATATGACCAAGAACCCCCACATACTCATATTTAAATCAAAAGGTGTTGTTTCTGAAATATTAGTATATACCCATACAGTAAATAACCACCTGAACACCCAAACACCCCCAATGCAAAAACACCAAGGGACTCCGTGTCAATATCAGACTCCTTGTCCTTGGCCGAAATATCCAATGTAGATGCTTGCCGCGACAACTTCTGTTGCCCCAGCTGCAGCGTAGAGCAAGACCTTAGATGGAACTAAATGTATGGGGATGAATGGGATGGAGATCAAGCATGTCTTTCGATGGGGAAACAGGTTGCATCAAAAGGCTCAACAAAAAAAACTTTTTTGAAGCAAATCATTGGAGGACAAGAGAGACTTCAACTCAGCACGATTGTTCTCAACCAGTGGTTCTTCGACACGCTCGGCATGAACAACCTTGCGGCCAGATCGGCCTGGGGTAGGTTTTGCTTTCAACACTTTCTCAAGCTGCTCCTTTGCAAGCTGTGCTGGGTCATCAACGTGGCAAGGTTCCACCACAGGTTCCACGGCCTCGGGGGGTTCCACCATCATCTCCTGGGTTTCCTGTTGGTCAACCGAAACACCAGGCTGGGGAGAGTCTCCGTCATCACTTGCACTATGGGTTGTGGCGAAGACATCCACAGGTTCCTGGTCACTTCCATCAAGGTTGGGATCATCATCAACTTCCATCTCGGGATCCCCCTCCTCACCCTCCTCTTCGGAAACTCTCTGGGTAAAGAGTTGGGTCACCAAGCTGGTTGTCAGGTTCCTCGGGAACAAAAGCTGCCACAGACTGCGAAGCTGCGGGGGCTGCGGGAGCTGCGGGAGCTGCTGGGGGTGGGTTTTCCTGTGCTTCCTTCTCTGATGCTTCCAACTTCTTAACAAACGCCTCACGTCTACAACGTTTCTGGTAGTCTTCCCACCACCGGGACCCACTGGTGTCGGGACCGATCACTGAAAGCAAAACACCCGAAGTTTCAGCAAAAGACAGACCATAGTGTCGCTGAATCAACTCAAAATTGTTCCAAGTGATTTCACATTCTGGGGGCTCGGTCGAACCAGGAGCTGCAGAGGGAGGATCCGATGTAGAAGGGCTAGTCTTCTTGCGCATCCGTTTGGGGGCTGGATCTGCTGATGTTGCCGCTGCTGAGCTGGGGGGAGCTGCACGTTTCAGCGCATTCTCAACCATGGTAACTTTCTTCGTTTTGGCCATGGCACCACCAGGGGCGCGGAAAAGGATGGTTTGATCAAAATGATCTAAGTGATAGAACAAACGAAAGCTTTCCCTTTTTTCCATACCCGAAAAAAACATGATTTTTACATTTTCGTGATTTTCGTGATTTTCGTGATGTTGATGATTTTCGTGATTTTCGTGGTTTTCGTGATTTTCGTGGTTTTCGTGGTTTTCGTGGTTTTCGTGGTTTTCATGGTATTGATGATTTTCGTGGTTTTCGTGCTTTTTCAGTTTTCACGTTTTTCACGCGGTTTTCATGGCCTTTCGGCCGTTTCGCACGTCCAATGACACACTTTTTCACGCATCACACTTGGCTAGGTATGGGATATTTCCCAATTTTCGTGATTTTCGTGATTTCACACTGGGGGTGATGCAATCAACCAGAGCCCCATGAAAACATCTAAAGGTCTGGAAAAAATATGTTGCTTTGTTATGTTTGGAAAATGGATTCAAACATCACCCAGTGTGCATATATACACATCGCGCATATGATACCATTTTTTGGTGAGGATATGGAATCAAACCCAACTTGCAACCAGCGGTGATCAGAACTTATATGGCCACTGGTGCAAAAGCCCCCAAAGATAGACCGCCGGTCAGGGTAGCGGTCGAAGCTTCAGCTCATAGAGAAGTTGGTCCTGGGATAGCATGCATGGTTATACAAGGTAAGTCATGTAACCACATGTGCCAAATATGTTTGTATATGTTTATGGTTTATGTTTACCTCACAAATTTATGATTACATCAAAGATAGACACCAGAACGTAAATAAACCAAGATTCCCAGCCATTAGGCACTTGCATATATTTTGCACGGGCGAAATACTCCACAGCATCCCATAGGCAAGCCTAAGGCAATTCCACACGACACTAGCTGGCGAACTTGGGGAAAATCTATTCTTGTGTGATTTGTTGGGTATCCCGATTGCCAAAAAAAACATTTTATACCAGGCACATCTTTCCATGGGTCGCCGATGGGAAGGCAGAACCTCCTAAACAGCTCCAAGTCTGTGAGGTCAATGGGAAAGCTTTCATCCAGATGCATATTCATCGGAACCGGGACCTCAATGCAGCAGCGAAGGGATCACCAGGGTTGCTCGAAACCATTTTCGAGAGAGAGAGAGATATATATATATTTATACATGTGTGATTTTTGGTTAAAGGGGGTATGGAAAGATCACTCACATATATGTTCACCGGGAAGTTTTTCTTTCACAGTCGGCCACGCAGGGGATCAATTTGTAATTCCAATTCTTTGGGAAATTCGGACAGAAGTAAATCTATGCCTTGTATGGGTGTCTAAGATTGAATCCCAAATGGTCAATATATACATATAAATAAATAAATAAATATAAATATATATATATCTTTATATGTATATATCCACAACTTGGCTCGGCTTTCAGGGCCATGCATAACCATAGATTTCGCCAGGGACAAATATATGTGGACTCCAAAGACGAAAATGTGACCCCCACCGGCAGGGACTATAAGATTTGGATTTGTATCCATAGAAGGGGACATATCGACGGTTCGAATTGCATCTCCGAAATTAACTTTGTTGGAACACCCTATGGTTCTAGTATTGTGAAATAAGGATGCAACAGACAGGTTTGCAAGAATTCCGGGGCAACGTGTGAAGTTGCTATTTAGATTTATGGGTAGGTTTTTGATCTACATGAACAGCTGAGATGATCTTTTATATGTTGAAATACATACACATATGTATATATGTATACATTCATATATGTGTGCACACATTGAAACTATATGTTTGTATATTTACATATGTACATATGATTCTGTATACGAATGCACATTTGTATAAACATATGTGAAAAGTAGATACAGGTAACTATGGGAAGAAATCTGTCATGCTTTTGCAAATATAAATGTATATGCACTGGCAGTGCATGTGCATATGCAACGCACATTTGGGTGAATTGTGCAAACCGAGAGAGAGAGAGAGATATATATATATACACATACGGTTATCTTGTACATATGTGTATATTTGTATATATACATGTATGTATGTATATATATGTGTGTGTGTATATCTTTTTTCTATGTATATATGGGCTTTTGCCTGTATGTGAGTATTTGTAAATATGTGTATCTACTTTTTCTATGAATATACAGGCTTATACCTGTATGTGCGCATTTGTGTAAGATATGCATTTCTTGAATACACATATGTTTAGTCATATATATATATATATTTACATCTGCATATGTTGTATAACAGACAACCCTGGGTGATATTCACCACCCGGTCCCAGGTACAGCTTCCATCTCCACAGCAATTGATGCAATGAAGTCACCAAAGGCAGGGGGATAATTCCTTGGGTGGCAGGTCGTATGCTAGCTCAACAACATTTGTTGGCACACGCCATATATTGAAGAAAGTTTGAAAAAAGGAAAAAACGATTGATGTTTGACCAGGTACGCTGATTCCTTCAATTCCTTCTTGAGTCCAGTACAACGACGCTTCCCGTTTTTGTCTATGTAACGATGTACCAACTTTGTATCGCATTTGGCTTGGTCCACCCTTGACATGAACCCAGCTTTGTCGTGAATCTTCTCTAGGAAAGCTGGATCATTCGACAGCAGCCTGTGCTTCTTAGGGCTACCTGATCCAAACACCCCCATGTACATCGTTGTTGCAAAGACCTGGAACAGGGAAACATTCACAGGACAACAAACCGATTGATTTAAGCAATGTTATCAAACTACGTTTCTACCCACAAAAAATCTTGCAGGGTTGGTGTTGGGCCTGGCCTTTAGCACTCCAAAGAGCCACTGATAACGTGGCAGCTGTGGTAAGAACGTCCCCTCTGGCTGCTCAATCACCCAACGGAGCCCACAAAAGGAGCAAAGGAATGCAAGTAATGCAGTTCTCGCACTCAAGATATTTCCGATTTTTACAAATAAGTACCCTTGATTGCCGAGTGGAGACAAGTAGGTGCGTCCACTCGTATGGCGCGACCTAAGCGATCCAGCAAAGTATATTCAACTGCAATGTTTTTCGGCAACATTAACCTGTGATGACCGTGCAGGCAATGGTTTGGATCATTGTTAACCAAAATACATGAGAACATCATGGATCATGATTTCACTATAAGTTTTACCTCATCGACTATGCCATCAACATGCCCACTGGCTGTGAAATGTAAGTTGTAAACCATCGGCAACAGCCGTTTCCAGCAAAGGGGCATACGGGACAAACTGCGGCAATCTGGCGCCATAAGCACTGTGCTGCCAGGCTTGCACCGGAGGATCTCATTCAGCACCAACCTCAAGTTTGACAGATACAGGCCATCCACCGAGACAGAATATGCAACAGACATTTTGTTTTGGTTTGTGAAAATGCGGAAAGGAAAGATTGTGAAAGAACAATTGGTAGAACAGCCAGCAATCACCTGGTCACACCATTTTTTCCCTTTCCATGGATATATTTCAGCACACATTGCCACATATTGCAACCACGGTGCCCAAAAGCGGAGGGACGGGTCAAATCGAAAGCACCATCCAGACATAGATCAATTGAGGTGCCACGTCGACCGACCTTGGCACAGGCCATGACAGTCAAAAATGGTGGTTGGTGGGAGTTTGACTTGGGACATTGGGACATATACATATATATATATATAAATAAATAAATAATATCATATAGATAGATATATGTATATATATATATTTCTTTATTTATTTGGGGTCAAGGCCACAACACTAAACAGAATAGTTAGGCAAGATATAGTACGTCAGATATGGACCCACTTCCAAACCCAAATCACCAAACCAAAACCCCAGATTGAAGACAGGCTGCATCCCTGAAAGCACGAGAAACTTCTCCAACACCACTGAACACTTCCACAAATTGCCGGTCCTTAGCTGTGGGCCATATGCACATTGGGAAGAACTTGACATTGACAAACCATGAAAATAAATACATAGAATGAACAAGAAGTTAACTGAATACCAAGTAAGCTTCAATGGTGTGGGGGATTTGCTGGTTCCATTGTATCAGCAGCAGTAATAAGATCAGTGGGTTGGGCGCACGCCATCGCAAGAGTTCTAGGACACCCATGATACCAACTGCATGTGAACACCAATCTCGGGGCCAAAGCTTGCTGTGAAAATACCAGTATTCAAACACAGGAACCCTACATCAAACAAGTTTGCACCATAGACTGCACGACTTCATATGTTGCAACTGAATGTAAAAACATATGGATGCTGAGATTTGTTCCTCTCATGTTCGCACAGGCATCCCCCTGCCCATGATCAGGACTAAGATGGAAATTCCAAATTGGACTTCAGGTGAGTCTAATCTAATCAGCCCAAGGGTTTGTCTTACAATCCCTTGGGATAAACTTCCTACGTTTCAGCTCTTTCACTGACACGTCTTTCAAGTAGAGGCGTTTTTCATCAGAATCATCCCAAGATTTTTTCGCATCTTTGAAGGAGAGACCCTTGGCCTTCTGGTTTTTCATGTAGGCACAGCGAACCCCAGCAAAGTCCCATGGATCACCATTAGGATGCAATTCCTGGGTCTTGCGCTTTGCAGCAGGAACTGGCTTCTCCTCATCCTCAGGCTCTTCATCATCCTGGCCTGCAGCAGCTCGGGCTGCAGTGATGGCAGGGACGTATTTGTCCTTGAGGGCGAACGGTTTGGACTCAACTGTGAACTTTCCCATGGTTTTCAAAACCTGAGTGCTCATTCGGACAATGCCGCAATAAAAAACATGTTTGGGGTTCATAGGAATGACACACCATGTACAGAATACCACAAGTCTTTGTTGACAAATACCAAGAAACATGGTCGGGCAAAAGATATGGGTTTGGTACTGTCGTGTCACCATCATCAGCTGTGGGCTTGGTAGCCTGGGGCTCAAGACGTTTTTCCTTAGCAGCCTTCAAAATCCTGGCAATCCGTTCTGTTCTGGATTCCCCATTGCATGGTTCTTTTTGGTGATGGTCTCCAGGATTTACATCAGATCCACCGGTGGAAACAACATGAGTTGTCTTGTTGGCACTCCCAGCACTGGACTTGGTTTCAGGGCATGCTTCTGTCTGAGCAATCTTGAATTTTTTGAGTTGTTCAATGACCCGCCCAAGCTTGTCACTGGCTGCGCTAGACACCCCGGAAGACACACAGCTGCTTGAATCAGGTGAGCATGTGCTGACTCCACTCAACTCTTCGATGTCGGTCGGGACACCCTTGGACTTGGGCGTGAACTTCGGGTCCTGGGCATGCCAGGATTAGGGTTTGTGGCTTCCAACATGCATCCCCAAAACCAAAACATTCAAAACCCACACCAATTTCATGTAGTTTTTCTTGAAAATAGAAACATAATTCCTTGAAAGTATCGTTATCCTCTTCATCACTATCATCGTCATCCTCTTCATCACATTTTGAGCACCAGCCACAGTCTTTGGCCTTCTGTTTGATCTCACTGAGCTTGTTATACTTGGACGAAGGTGCCCGGCGGAGCAAACGTCGAAACCTTGAAACCTCACACAAACAAAAACGGACCAAACTAAGAACCCATGCATATGACAATAACAAAAGCTTGGGGGTTACATCTGTCAACAAAAGTTGGGATTTAAAATGATGTAGGAAAGTAACCAGTTTTTTGATCGCCACCGCATACTTCAACGCCCAGCTCTGGACAGCTGGTATATCAGCGTACACCCCCATGGGGAATAGCTTGAACTGCGTGAAAAACTCAAGCAGGGCCTTCTGCAAAACATATGCAGAGACCCTTGATTTTCCATTGGCACCCTTGATGGTTGCAAGTAGAACCTCCACAGCCAGGGCTCCAATTCCCCACAATATAAAGTTAAGTTATCGCCACCAAATCTAATCAGAGTTTTGGGTTGGTTATGATCCCAAACCTTTCGAACATGGATGGAACCCATTCTTTAAAATTTATGAATTGTTTCCCTCACTTCGTTGGGTTGCACCAAAATTTCATGGCCATCCCAAACCTCCTGGTTGACAATGATGTCTTTGATGGTGCACTTCTGGCGCGTGAACAGCTTTCCAGAGTGATCTACCAGCACTGTCAACCCAACCTGGGCAAAAGGACAATGATTTGCTTTGTTGTTTTCCGATAAAACTAAAAATTGCACAGAAATTTGGCAACCTAGGGGCTTCTCTCAGCCGCGGGGTTGATGCGAAAGCATCCACAAAGGGGCGAGATAGGGACTCTGCGCTAAAATCCATGGGGCCTGGAGCCATTTGATCCTAAAAACCTCTCTGAAGATTACAGGAAAACATTGAACTCCATCCAGTTGGAACCTCTGGGCAGCAGCAACCCGTGCACGGCCAAGGTTGGACGCACCTCTGACGTAGAATTGAGCCTGGCGTGCGATGTGCCACATGGGCCGGCAGGGGTGGTTGGAAGGTAGCATCACGAAACGTGTTTACTTGATTTCAAGTTGAACGCACCAGTTTGAAAATCCAATGAGACTTCTAAATTGGGATTAATCTTGAATCCTAGTCCAAATTTCAAAAACCATATGTATAACAGACCAATCCGTGCATAAAGCTATGCCAGTGGCACCATGTCAGCGGATCGTTTCACGAATCACCGCAAGCACCTGGCAGCTGTGAAGACGGTGAAACTTATCAATGGTGATCTTATCCAGCAATCACGTGGATGATATGTTGTTGTTGTTGTTGTTGTTGTTGTTGTTGTTGTTGTTGTTGTTGTTGTTCACTGCGGATCCACTGCGTATCCATTCTGTTTCACTGCGTCAAGTTTCGAAACCAAATCCGACTGAAAATTCAGTTCGGCAAAAGCACCTGGCCCGAGTTCAGCCTTTGGCCCATTGCACCATGCAGAGGAGCGAAGCAATTCCCCAAATCTGGATATCCTTTAGAAATTTCGAACCAAGAAATTTTGATGGTTTAAGGGTTGTAATACCAAAAAACGTTAACATCGTGAAAACGTTGATTTGCTGGTGAATTCAACAGATCGAAAGGTAAGCCGGTAGATGACCTATTTTGTCACCACGGGACCTACAGGCCACAGGCCCCTCACCCCAAGGGCCACGGCTGCAGTCGGCCGTTCGCTTTTCTTTAGTGTATCGTTCACGGCAAAATGATGAAAACAGAAGCGCAACCCGCAGAAGTGGGACAAAAAAAAATCCACCGAAAGCACAATGTCTCCACAAACCAATTTTCGAACAAGTAGTCATGTACTATCAGATCATGTTGCATATATATATATGTATATATATAGATATAGATAAATAAATAGATAGATAGATAGATATAGATAGATAGATAAATCAATAAATAAATAAATATATATATAAATAATATGACATACATATCATACCTATGCGCAAAATCCCAGAAAGTATATCCACAATGGTACACCACGAAATATTTGGCAAAACGATATTTACCCATATGCAATATTCATGTACCATATTGTGGGGTTTTGTTTTTTCTTTTTCGCACGAAAAGTCTACGCCAGCAGCTGAAAACCTAATGCCGGCAGTGCTGCATGTGTCAAAGTGCAATAGTACACTTGGCTCAAGCAACGGTGTGCTGATAGATCAATGTTTTCACGCAGCAAAGTTACCTTTTCACAGCTTTCACAAATTTTCACGGTCGTTTTTCCATTTTCACGGCCTGCTACTGTTTTCACGGCCAAACCGCTTTTTCGAAGCCAGATGGTCCATTTGGCCTTCGGCCTCCCTTTATGGGATCAAATGCACCCCTAGGTCTATGAACAAATTAGAGGCTCACCTATGGGTTCTCCTTTGAGCCCTGCCCTATGCATGATGGTCGTCGCCCTCTCTGAAGAAATTTGGTACCGAACCTACCATACCACCCTTTCAACCATCCTTTCTGCCCGCCTTCTTCGGTACGTGGACAACAGACTGTGTTTAGCCGATCCTTCGTGGGACTATGAGATTTCTTTCACCAATTTCTTGCGCCCGGAGTTCTACGGCAACCCCATTATTTTAGAAACTGAACCCGACCAAGAGTTTCTGGGCTTTTGCATCGAGTTCGAGCCCTTCGCCCTTCGCTACAGCCCTCCACGCGACTTCAACCAGGTCATGGCACCATTTTCGGCATCACCACTGGCAGTGCAACTCTCGGGCTTTGTATCTCGATTATTTTTGGTCGCCAAATGTGCGCACCCTGATTCTGAACGGACTCGAGGTTTTGCCGCATTGCATCGATTGTACATAGCTGCAGGCTTTTCAGAATCCGATTTGCGATCCGCTGCCAAGCCTATACGACGTTACCTCCACGTTGCCACGCTATTATGGTAAAATGACTTTGATTGCTCGGTGACGTCAGCGTTTTATTTTCTTGCACTACCTCAGAACCTTCTAATTCACATTCGAGCAACTCAGATCAACTCAGCATCTTTTCGATGTACCAGCCACTTTTGTATTCTACCCTCACCCTCCGCGGTTCCCCACCCTTATTCGACCAGTATCGCGCCATGGCTTCATCGACACCTACGACCTCGGTTCCGATCCAAGAACCAGTTTTTCAACAGTTTATCCATGATGTTCATCACGCATATCTCCTTCTACATCGAGCTATGGCCTTACTCCCTCCGACTACGATACCAGATATTGAGCCGACCCCATTGCCGAGCACCGGAGTCTGGAACCAACCTGAAGGCTTCCAACCGGAATATTCGGACGCCACCAATGCCTTTCTCGACAATGTACACCTCCCGTCACCAGACCCTGAAGAAGAAGAACATTATATAACCATCTTCCTCGACCTCATCAACATCTCGCTGCTCTCCCACCCGATGCTCTTCCTGAACCTTCGAAGCTCTCGGCAACGGCAATTACACCGGCCAAGGAGAAGAATAAGCCCAAATCCACTCCGAAAGCTCCCGCAAAGCGAAAACGCCCCGCGACCAGATCGCCATCGTGCTCACCCAGCCCTTTGCCCACCTGGACACAAGAAGAAAAGCAGAAACTACGCACATTGAAATCCGATGAAAAGTCTAGATTTTCGTGGCGAGTGATCTCCAACAAAATGGGAAAATCTGAACAAGAGGTTCGCTCCATGTGGAACCAGATCAAGGACCATTTGGGATGATTGGATGCCTCTTACTCGGCGCACTTTCGGCTAAAAGAAAAAAGTCCGTCGCGGCACTTGTTATGGACAATTTTTCCCTGGTCATCTACTCTCTGACATTTATCTATTTACTATGCTTAAGCTACCTTGCAGCTTGGTTCTTTTAACTATGTCTTTACGCTCCCACTTAGATCGCTATTGTTTGCGGCAAGCCATGGCACGAGACTCGATTTCACCTCCTACACGATCTAGATCTCCAACGAGGGCACCCACCTCATCGACTATTACCTCACCTTTTTACCGCCCACAAAGAATGAATCCCCCAGCTACGACACCTCATCGCCCCGTGATATTGAAAGTGGATTTGAAGCCCATGCAGCAACTTGCGGACAAAAATCCGTACTACAACATCATGGCACCCAAGGTTGCAGGCAACATCTCCACGGAAACGTACGAGAGCCTCTTTCAGACCTACAAGGTGATCTACCCAGACTATGCGAGCCGCCATTTTGTCACGGACCTGAAGACCTTGGTGATGGATACAATGTTACAACGCTGGTCAATTCATCTTCAGTCCACAGATTTCTACCTGATGATTGACACTGATCAAGGCACTCAAATTTTGGATAACCTACCGCACTCCTTCCTCGACATCCTCAATTGGTATTATCCAAATTGGCAAACCCACCAACACCTGGACGCTTTTACATCGCGCTCTTCGTCTACCCTTATGTTGACACCTCATCCTGATCCTTCTGATACAGCCTTATTGGTCCAGATCCAAAGCATCCCACGTGGACATCCTTTCTTCTCGCCTACCAGATCGCCTACATTGTGAGACGGCTTATTTATGCTATGGCCAAAAAGGAACTAGACGACGGATGGCCCGAGAGCGTAGAGGAGCAGAGTCTTCTGTTGTTAGTATGGAGACACGCTTTTTACACACAGGCTCTTTTACACACAGACGCTTTTACACACAGACGCTTTTACACACAGACGCTTTTTACACGCAGGCGCTTTTACACACAGAAGCTTTTACACACAGACGCTTTTACACACAGACCCTTTTACACACAGACGCTTTTACACACAGACGCTTTTACACACAGACGCTTTTTACACACAGGCTCTTTTACACACAGACGCTTTTACACACAGACGCTTTTTACACACAGGCTCTTTTACACACAGACGCTTTTACACACAGACGCTTTTACACACAGACGCCTTTACACACAGACACTTTTACACACAGACGCCTTTACACACAGACACTTTTACACACAGACGCTTTTTACACACAGACACTTTTTACACACAGACGCTTTGACACACAAACACATTTACACACAGACGCTTTTACACACAGACGCTTTTTACACACAGACGCTTTTTACACACAGACACATTTGACACACAAACACATTTACACACAGAGGCTTTTACACACAAACACTTTTACACAAACACTTTTACACACAAACACTTTTACACACAGACGCTTTACACACAGACGCTTTGACACACAGACGCTTTTACAGACAGACGCTTTTACACACAGAGACTTTTACACACAGAGACGCTTTTACACACAGACACTTTTACACACAGACGCTTTTACACACAGACGCTTTTACACACAGACGCTTTTACACACAGACGCTTTTTACACACAGGGGCTTTTACACACAGAAGCTTTTACACACAGACGCTTTTGCACACAGACCCTTTTACACACAGACGCTTTTACACACAGACGCTTTTACACACAGACGCTTTTACACACCGACTCCTTTACACACAGACGCTTTTACACACAGACA